AGAGAGAGAGAGAGAGAGAGAGAGAGAGAGAGAGAGAAGAAAGACTACATACCATTTCAAGTGGCAAAAACAAACTCCATTGGAAAGTTTTTTGAGCTTTTAAAGTGAAGAGGAAACCAGTGCAGCAGTCCTCTGAAGCTGCACGCTTTGATGTCTGTGTAGACCATGTGGAACATCAAAGCAATCACTTGCTCTGCTAGGTAGCAGTGTTTGACTGTTCTATTGACTTGTGCTTTTTGCTGTTGCAAAGCTCCAACTGTTTTGATGTACATCACAGGCTACACATCAAAGCACTCATTACTATGGCTGCGCATTTTATGGCCTTTCATTTACAAAACTTCCACCTTTTTTTTTATATTAAAAAGAAAATTCCATTGTGTGTGTTTGTGTGTGTGTTGCGTGGTGTTTGTTCGTTGTTGGGTTTAAAACTACTATCCGGAGCTGCCTGCAAGTCAGGACAGGGGCATGCACTTGAGGTGAATGATATTGGAAGGCCTCGTCTTTTCAATGTTTGCTTCTTGAAACTGGTGGCTTAATTCTAGATGCATCAAAACTTCATCTCTTTGGCATTCTTCTGAATCTGAGAAAAGAAAAATACAATTTGACTCAAAGCTCTTAAGCCTGAGATAGATACTGCTACTGATGCACTGTTGTCATCAGATCATGTTGCCGGAGGCGATTGCGATTGTCATGGCGCCCACGGATACTTCAAGGTTGGTCTTACTTCTTACTCCTCTATCATGTCATTCTGCTTCATATAAAAGGAAAACTAAGGAAGAAAAAGAATAAGGATTGTACACAATAAGGCCATTTAGCTTCGGAACAAGGAGGTCACGATTACTTATAACCATCCGATGTGAAATCTGATAGCTTGGGTGTCATAAAGTTTGAAAAAATTTCTTTTGAACGTTGAGCTTGGTCAATAGAACAAATGCAGCCATACAATTCCACATCCAATGGTCAAGATCAATTGTGACGATATGACCACCTTGTATCAAAAGAAAATGGTCTCATTGTATACTTTTCCAAAGAATATGATCCTGTAGTGTTTTTGTACAAAAGGCTGCGAAAGAGCATCTAGTGACTTATTTTGAAACGATATTGAGATGGTTCTTTCAGTTAGACTCAGTTAGACTCAGTCAAACTTCTAAGTTCTTTTGAGAGGATATGTCTTTAATATATTGTAAGGCTCGTCCTTAACTTTTTGTTGCAGTTTGAAGAGGTAAATAATTATGTGTTTTAACCTAGAGTACAAGTTTGCTTGAAATATATAAATCTATGCAAATGTCCAAGGCCATAATAAAATATGGAGAATATATTATGATGCATTTAGCTTACAAAAAGTAACCTATCCATCGCATCAACTGTCTATTGTCGACAATGGATGGCTGATGTGAAATTTCTCCCCTCAATATAATCTGTTCATTGAGTAGTTTACTGTCTGTAGGCTACATTGCATACCTTTAAACAACCTACTGTCTGTAAGCTACATTGCATACCTGTAAACAACCTTTTAGGAGAACGTTGCTTAAATTTAATTTGAAAAATCAAAAGAAAACTACTTTCCTTCATTTTTCTCTATAAAATTTGATAATTCTTAAAATTAAAAAAAATTCCTTTCATTTTGTCAATTCTTACTTTATTTATTTTATTTTTCAGGAAGCATGGTATTTTCCGTCTAACGGATCCAGGTGGGATAACAGTGATAAGGGAATGCCAGCAACGTGGCTTTCATCCCCATGACGAGCCATCCGATGGGAGCCCGATTTATGACCACTGCACTCACGTGTATATGAACCCTACCCTTAAATTTGAGGTAATTGATCTTCGGTAAATCCCCACATCTTATTTATGTTACCGAATTGATTCATATCAGGAGTGTTTTCTTTTTTTTCCTTTTGAACTAGTCTTGTATGATGATTTGTTCAGTTTAAGGGTAATATGTATAGCTAGTTGAATATGATTGATTTTTACCGGAGAAAAGAAAGAAATATGGTGTAATTTAGATTTCCAAATGCATATTGAATTTTGTTGAAAGTTTCTAAGTTTTGAGGAGAGAGAGAGTGGTGGTCAAGGTGGCGGGTGCCATTCTAGAGTTTTATTCTTATCAGGTTCTAAGTTATTCTCAGAAAGGATGGGGCTTTTATGAGTCAGCGGATTCATACTTTGTATATGCGGGCCCCCACTCAAACCAATATTAAAAATGGATTTTTAATCTAAAATTTTAGAGATTCATGATCTAAGTTATGATGATCATGAATATGAAAAAAAAAATTAATATTTAAAATTTGATTTTTATTAAGAAAAGTTTTTGCACGGTGTAAATTTATTTTAGCCCCATGGTTTTCTTTACAACATCAAGATAAATGTTGGTGAGTTAGCAGGCTCTTGCACCTCCTTAAGAATAACTTTTCTATAAATAAAATAAAATAGCTTCTCTATTAAAAAAAAAAAGAAGAAAAAAAACAATTAAAAACACGGTAGAGAACTTGGTAGTTTCTCCCTCACGTTTTGGTTCTGGTTATGCTGCCATGGCAGTCGACTGTTATATCGGGAAATTTTGCTTTTAACTGGCAACCAGAAAAAGCCGTAGGAAAAAAAAAAAAGAAAGGAAAACTTAGGGGAAAGTTGAAAATTAGAAAAAGAAAAGAAATTTTTTAAAAGATAATTTTAACAACCTCTAGGGTTTTTCAGTCACTACCAATCAATGGTGCCCATCCGTGTTTGATTCAATGTTTGAAAAATGCCCATTCGTATTGGAACTAGTCAATCTGGATCGAGAATTGTTGGGGTTGGTCGGGCTCTTGTCATACATTGGGATCCGAATTGGTTCCTTTTTGAGCCGACCGATTCTTCGGCAGGATTGGCCAACCTATCCAACATTTATATTTTTAATTTTTTGCATTGTTGTTTTTATCATTAATTTTTTAATTGATGAGGCTTCTATTGAGCCCAGGCTTTGTGAAAACAAAATAAAGCCTTAACCTGGAAAGCACTATTGGCATTAGAAATCTTCGTGATAGCTCTAAAATTAATCTTCATGATAGCTCTAAAATCATTTTCTAACACCAACAATAAAATTTGGAACTAAAAAATGGTATAGATCCTGTGGATCTATAAACAACAATGGATGGTTTAGATGATTTGTTGTAATAATACACGATTTTTAGAATTGGAAACCCTAATTTTTTGCACAACCATAATTTTCAAGTTGAGATGATAGTTTTTCAACACTTGAATTGCTATGAGGTGTTCAAGTTGAGATGATAGTTACACTCGAATTTCTACGAGGTGAGGCTTTGATTATTTTGACTTTCCTTTCTTTTATTTAATAATTACTCATTTGGTGGCACGGGCCTACCCATCTTACTCTTAAGTGAAACGCGACAATCCATTCCTATCGTTCCGATGTGGGACAAATAATACCACCAAACCAACTCAAGAAATAAGGTGTGAGAAAGGCTTAATGGTGTGAGAAAGGCTTAAAAAGAACCTTGAATAATAGAACTTTACGTATCTGCTCACTATCAAATACATGAATATATTGTTAACTATGATTACCAGCTCAACACTAATACACTTACCATAAGAAATGATGAAAATAAATAGGAGCTTCCCCAACCAAAGAAAATAAAGGTGGTATCGACAAAGAAAAGAACATATCTGTTTCTCTAGCTCCAATTCCCCTCTGAAAGATGGGTTACAACGCCCCTCTCTCTCTAAAGATCCGAGCTAGTTCTCTCTTTATCTCTCTCTAAAAGCCTACGTCTCTAGCTCCAATTCCCCTCTCAAAGATGGGTTACAACGCCCCTCTCTCTCTAAAGATCCAAGCTAGCTCTCTCTAAAAGCCTACATTCTTTCTCTCTCACGTTGGGCTTATTAAAACTCTTGCACTGGGACAATATTAATAAGGTTTAGGGTCCAATAAATTTGTCACCAGGGAGACTCACCAATTTGACTTTTCAAAAGCATAATATAACGATTCAAAATTAGAATACAAAGGTACAAGAGGCTATTATGCAATTTTGGGAGTCTTGGTGTTTTCATTACCTGTTTTTTGGTTCTTTTAAAAAGAATGCCATTTTAAAGTATATCCACTTAAGAGTGGTGATAAGAAAAGAAAAGAAAAGAAAAGAAAAGATTTAGAAAAAATGAAGCAAACAAAAATTGTAACCTGCCACTCTTGAATAAGAAAATATCAAGTTAAAATGAAGTAAGAAATTTTTTTAAAAAATTAATTGAGTAATGTAGCAATTGGAGGAGTTCCACGAAAGAAAGATGGCAAAAAACAAAAAAACATTAATCCCTAGATTTGTACGACTTAAATACGCTAAAATACAAATTGAAACAAATGAGTAGGCAAGCTCCCTATATTTACGTGCAAGTAGTAATGGAGATTATAAAAATATAAAAATAAAAAATATCAAAGCGATCTATTTTATTGCAATAAGTTACATTTTAAACTTGATTTTGAATATGAAATGGATGCAGTGGTTAACAAACCCTAAACATATTATCAGTATTTACATATTTCCAATGAAATAATGAAAATATACAATGCAAGAAACTAGATTTTAAAGAAATTTTAATATTTTTTGAAAACTTTTTAAGGCCGGATTTGGCCGATCCAAACTGCTAATCTGCCGATTTGGCATGGTTTTATGAATGGACAATCCAGGTCACCGACCCGTTTTTTAAAACTTTTATTAGGTCTCTCTCCTTGCATGCTAACATAAAAAACAAAACAAAATGGACTTCTAACAAACGAGATTTCATGCGTTCAAGGAATCCTTCATTTATTGTTGAACTTTAATACTTATAAGAACTAAACAGAGTAGATTTCTAATAAACAAGATTTCGTTGTACGCTTAGGGCAAAAAATAAATTTTTCATTTTTTGGTCCTCTCTAAATTTTTAGTTCAGTTCCATGCATTGAGGGGACGTATTTCAACACTTGTGCCCCCTGAGGTATAAAGCATCCATCTTAAAGATAGATGCAAATGGGTGGTCTATCTAAAAACAGTTGAAACTAACCGTCCAAATGTATTTTTCATAAAACTTTTATTTTTAATTTTTACAATTTATTTATTTTTCATATTCATGATATCCATGTTAGAGATTATGTGTCCTTCAAAATTGGGTCTAAAAATCCGTCTCAAAAACAAATTTTTAATAGGGCTCATTTCTACTTGGACTCGTAGAAAATAAGTGTTCGGTAGAGAAAATAAGTGTGACCAAAGAAAATTTGTCCTTTCGGATTTCGTTAATGTTTTGCTTTTCAAGTAAAATGTCGGGGACATGATATATTCATATTTTTTAGTTTTTAATTACTGTTTAAAGCCAAATCCAAGAAGATCTCGAGAAGAAACTCTCTTTGATTTGTGCTTCAACTGAACAATTAAAAATATTAATTGAGAAAAGTAGGATCTATGGAATTACAGTGTATAAGCATAAACTGAAAATTAAAGAAAAGAAAAACTTATATAGAATTTGGTCCCTCTTGCCTCGCACCCAAAGTTGGTCTGCCAATGAGACTAGCGGTTGAAATGACTTCATCCTCAACTAGAGCATTGTTTGAATTGAGAAGTATCGAGGGCATGTTCTTCCTAGGGTTTTGATTAATTTGGGGCATCTTCATCCCAAAGCTTATGAATTAGGGTTTTGAAATTTGTAGAGAATTGAAATTTCTCTCTCTAAGGTTTTCTAGGCTCTAAGGTTTATTTGGGTTTTCCTCTGACCTAATGGTTTTCTCTAGGGTTTGTGGAATATAGGGTTTTCTAGGCTCTAGTATTTCTTTGAGTATTCCTCTAGCCTAAAGGTTTTCTCTAATTTCTAAAAACGTTCTCTAGGATTTTAGTTATCTAAGGCATAAAGGCTTATAGGTGTGAATTATGAGAGACTAGAGAAAGGTCTATATAGCCTACAGTTTGATTATGTTTAGAACTTCTAATTAGTTTAGGATTAGGATTTCTTAGTCAAAACCGGTCAAAATATAATCTAGTAGTTCCAAAATCTTTGATCAATATAAATCATTTTTTTTTTCTGAATATTCTGGATTTTTTGAAAACCATATCAGTTAGCGACACAAGGCGTGTCGAAAACCTGATCAATCAGCGACACGAGGCATGTCTCTAGGCCCAGTGACACAGACCTGTCATTGGATCATATTTAGCCCATGGTTGGGATGTGCCTGACCTCTTGCTGACCTCAACATCGGTGATTTGGTCCAAATCTGATGGGTTTTAGGGTTGCTAAGGGTTCTTTTATTTTGATGTAATTGCTCAATCTTACCCCTGTGAACAGTAATGCATGAATAGTATCCATGAACAATACCCATGAATAGTAATATGAATAGTAAATAATAGAAAAAAATAATAAACCCTAACATCTCAAAAAATTTAAAATCTTAAAAATAAATCCTAAAACCAAAATCAATATATATATATTTTTTTTTTTTTTTTATTTATTTTTTTTAAAAAAAAAATTTATATAGAAATTAAAAATAAGTATAATTTTTCCGTCCTTCACTCTCCCTTAGTTGGAGAAAACTCGTCATCGAGTTTGAAGTGTGCTAAGATGAATTCAACATTAAATCTCCTTTCTTCAACATTTTTTTTTGTTGGCTCAAATATTATTCAAGGCAAAAAGAATTCTTCAACAAATGGATCTTGGTATGTATATTAAAGAATCAATGCAAATTTATCATGGTGTTATTGAATAGAATGCTAGGAGTGGCCGATGTGTGGTCCATAGCATGGCTCCAAGTGGAGTGTGTGCGCCAGAGTTGTAATGAGTGGGGTATATGTGTAATGTGATTTGTTGTTAGACATAAGTGTTGTTGCTAAAGAGTGTATGTGCATGAGAGTGTGCACATATAATATTGTGGGATAATTTTTGTGTTTTCTGAGGATAGTAGTTATTAGAGATGAGGCACATTGATCATGTAAAGTAGTGTGTTTTGGACCTTCAAAGT